GCTCCATCAAAAATATTATTGACAACCTGCCGTGTTGTTTTCAGGCTATTGTCAAGAAGTGCAAATTATTTTATCCAAAGATCCTTGAATGCAGGAAATGACATTTGAAAGATAACACAATCTTACATTGTCAATGATGCAAAACTTATGTTCAATGGGTTTTCAAAGACAATGGCAACTTAAAGAAAAGCCTATATCTAGCTAAAGCAAATGCAATCATTATAAAAAAGAGTTATTGCTGTTATTTTTACTGTCCTCATTTTGATTTATTTAAAAAGCTAAGTTAAATATAGCTTGTTTTCATCATGGTCCTATTGATATGATGGGGTCGACATAATTGTAGAAACACCCTTAAACATAACTCAACACGGTTCAACAGGGCTACAAACTGCGGCCTCCAAAAGCATCTTTTATAGTTCATTTAAATTGAGAATGGATCACGGTAATTCCTTGAGATTCTGGTGAAGAATATTGCTATTTCTCTACTTTTAGACCGTCCATTAGCTCTGCATGTTGACTGAATGATGCCACTGTATACAAACCAGCTCAATGACATACTTGCAGTCATTTTGGCAGTAATTGTGAAAGTGTCTCTGGGGGAGGGGCATTTGCTTAACAAATGGCCTCCACAGGAAGAACACAAGCACCCAGCAATAAAGTGAGCTCCCACTAGGCCTCGGTTGGAGTCCATAGGGGGTAAAGGGTGTTTAGGATTAGTGAGTAGTGAGCAGACATCACTGTTCAGCTGCTCCCCCTCAGACACTGTCCTGTTCAGGGACACGACGGCGTCTTCTACAGTGCAGCTGCTGGCCACTGTAACAATAATTCATTCCCTGTGAGACTTCAGTCTTTATGCTCACATTCATGTGTACACCTGTACACTTGAGCCACTTATATATTACTGTAGAAACGCTGAGCCTTTTTCTGGCAGTAAAACAAACAATATTATGAGGGGCTTCACCTTTACAAGACAAATGTGAGCATGTGCATTCATGCAAACGCACAGAAATACACATGTATATGCATGGACACACAGATTATAGACACAAACAGATGTCTGCAGACTTACGCCTACATGCTGCACACACACACGCATGCCATGAACACACAGGCTTGCATTCAAACACAGATGTGAGCAGACAAACCTGAACCTACTCGTACATCTGGAGGAGTGTATCTGCAAGAAAATATGTTTTCATCTCATCGAGACACAAACACTGAAAGGTACACAGTTCTACGCCACTGCACGTGACAATGGAGGAAATCACGTCCAATGAGATGATGGCAAATTCGTTATATGGTTATATCAAGTAAAACATTCTCTAGATGTACTTATTCCCCCAATATTAGTCTAGAGCAGTAATTGTACCTCAAAGATTAAACTCAGTATTTAGTAGAAAGCATTATAAATATCACACTATTGTGTAATGAGGAATTTGCCTCAGATTTTCCGCGCTGTTGGAACCTTGCTGGGGAAAACAAAGTGATGCTCTTTAGACACGGTTATACATACTGGGTTACTCATATTAAAAACTATAATTAGTTACAAATCCCTTTGTGTAGATGATTGTCTCTGATTGTCAATTTTCATTTCACATGGGTAGTTTTTTCAAAGATCATTCTACATGTTTTTGTTCTGCCTATATTAAACATTGTTATTTGTATTAACTTATTTGGAAGGAGGCTGAAGCTCATTTCTGCTGTCATTAGTATCATTACCATTACCTCTTATATCTAAACGGCTTTCCACTTGTCATACCAATACTGCACATGTGTCATATTTAAGTTTATTACATTTGATTTTGTACAGGGTTATCTATATTTCATCTATATTTAATGTAAATATTGCTAGATTTTATTATTATAATAGTTTTTTGTTTGCTCCTTTTCTTATAATTGATCTTCTTTGTCTGTGTGTATGCATGCACCATATACACCAAGGAAAATTCTTCATACTACTTGGTAATAAACCTGTTTCTGATTCTGATTATCTTTGCATAATGCTGAAGTATATTTTTGAATCATGCTGCAATTTAATAACCTTCTGCATACAAACTGAAATTGACTTCTAATGCAACAAAATGAATGAATTTTGTTCCAGCAGAACACTTGAACAGTTCAAACCCATCATTACTTATTTCCCTAGTACATTTTAGATGTACTTACTGCTCATACAGTATTCTAAGAGGGAACATTGAATAGGTTTTGTGTTTGATTGCAGTGAGTTTTAATCACGCCTTTCATTGCAAGTGAAATCATGCCGCAGCTACTAACAACTCATCGTGTTGGAGTGAGAGCAGTGAGACAATTAAGTTGACATATGTCGCAAGCGCTGAACAACAATTAGTGGGAGGAATCAATTTGAATTATTCCCTGAAAACACGAGAGATTGAAAAAACACCGTAACTGCATGGTGAGAAAAGTGTGAAAGTACTGGAAGTCGGTTGATGTGTTGCAGGTTAAAATGATCCAGTGGTAAATAGTAAGAGGTTTTCAACACCCTTGAGCAACATTTGATTGTTGCTATTGATCGGTGTTGGATTCAGAGCCATCATTGGGCAGAAACTGCGGTGAATGGAGGGGCAAGGACGATATGGGTGAATAAATCCGAGCGATAGTCCCTCACACATTGAAGTTCTAGAGAATATTAGAAGGCAAGTAAGCAAAGAAAGAAACGTGGGCAGCATAATATTTGATATTTTCTGTGTGTGTCAGGTTATTTTTCCCTGCCTATATTTCATAAGCCGCTTTCTCCATCTAGTGCTGATGGATAAATAAGCAGTGAGCCAACTTTGCTTCAAAGCTACATCAGTTGTTTTACCTGATACAAGGTTATGGAGGAACCTAAAGCCTTAATCATATCAAATCTCAAACCTTGGAAAGCTCATCATAAATATTTAAAATCCTACAACTCGCAGTCCACACTCACCTTACACCACCCAGTGAGTGGTGGAGTTTACTAATATCCCCACAGTGGATAACAACGTGATGCTTTAGTCATAGACAGTATGGTGTATGTCAGCTTAAGATCTATACATGAAGGGTTTACTGCATTGATGAATACATTAATATGTAGAATACACATTCAATGCTCTAATGTATGCAGTTGTTATCTCATACAATATGTTTTGAAACCCACACATTGTTGCCCCATACTAAATAGAGGTTGTTTTTTTTATCTGTTGGCTGTGTTTTTTTGCTTTCATGGGCTTTTCTTTCTATTGAAACTGTATTTGATTTCACAATAAGTAATTCATTCATACATTAAAGAACTCTTACTCGTATACATAATACTGTGTTTGATAAAAAGCATTGAATTAGACTGAATTTAACATCTCTCAAACATGATCATTGCATCAAATTCCTCCTTGTTTGCATATTAATGAGCTGAAGTTCTCTTTGAGTGTTTCTTTTTTCATCCCCATGCATACTGTGGTTATAATTAGAGTGACACGATTTGTTATGGAGTGTAGCGCCACCTTGACAAACTGTATCATGGGTCATCAGATAGAACAGATTAGACTAACTATGTTTGTTTTTTCCAGAGCACTGCACACTGAAAATGAAAGTGCATCACTCATGGAGTGATGAGTCGGGGATAAATCAGCTGCGCAGATCATATTCTGAGTATTTAGATTCATCACAGCAATCTGTTTCTCACCTACACTTAGTACAGTTCCTCCCTGTGCAGTTATGACTTCTCAAGTCACTGCTCCCGCTCATTTCAGTGTCAGTGCCTCTGGAGTAATATCACCACAGTCCAAACAAAGTGTTACAATCTTAAATTCCCTCTTCTCTCTTCCCCCCATTCCGATAAAGGACTTCTCCAGTCATAACGCTGAGCCTTAGACAACTTTGATACACATGGCTACGTTTTCTCCCTGAGCAGAGCTGGATAACTTTAATATTGGAGCCTTCTCCTGACTTTCTCTCTCTGCTTTAGCTGTAACCTTGAAAATGACATCAGTTACAATGCATACCATTCATTTGTAAGGGCAGCATAGCATCAAGAAGGATTGACACTGTGGTGTAAGTAACTCATTCAGTTAGCATCACCACTACAAAGGGCCTCAACAATCCTGACATTTTGTTTTATGTTTCCATGTTTTAGCCAATACACAAAGGCAACCATGGGTTCGTGCTAGATTCCTAATTTTGAGACTTTTCTGTTTGATGTCTTTTTTAAATTGAATAATTTGGGATTTTTAGTTTTTGTTCTGACATGGCATCAAAGAGGAATCACAGAACTTGTTACAGTTCCTGCTTTTCATCAACAAAAAATATTCATTGATTAATCCATAACAAAATAATCAGTTGTTGCCACTTTAGCTTTTGATTCAAATCTGTGGCAATCAACACATTGGTTTGTTTTCAGAGCAGTTGAAAAAATACGGAATTGTGTAAAACTCAAACTGCGAGTATATCAGTTTAATATCTAACAATAATAAACTTACAACCAATACCAGCAAAAGGACAAACATCACCAAAGGGAACCATTCATTATAGTCCTATCAAATTATTGGACCAGTATGCCAGGCATATACAGTTCAGTAAAAGCTGTTGGTGTGTAATATGACCAACATTTAGAGCATTGTTAGCTTATTATTCATAGTAGCCTTGCTAGAAGTGTGGCTCTTGGGATTGTAATGATGGTCTGCCAACAACTTTTGTCCAGATTGAAACAAGTCAGGAACTTTTGGATGTACTGAGGTTTGGTAATGACATTCATGTTCCCCAGAGGATTAACTGTAATTACTGGAGACGCCCAAACTTCTCATTAACTTCAGCTGTACTTTGGGTTTAGTGTTAATAAGTAAATGAAGATTGCAAACATCAGCATTATAATTGTGTCATTGCTAGCATGAAAACATGCCGACGTTAGCAGTTAGCTCTGCGCACGGCTTTGTATGTATGCAGCCTCACAGATTTTCGAGAATGGTTATACATTCTTAAGCAAACAGACTTTTAATAATCATTAACAATACATCTTAACTGCAGTGACATTCACACCAGCTTCACAGTTAGGTCAACACAACCTCCTTTGATATGGCCTATTTGTTAAATGTTTTCCAATATTTTTGGCCAAAAACCTTAGAGTGGGGGTTTGGGATGTCTGCACGAGTTACATCAGCCGCTGACTGGGGGTCAGTCTCACTGCCCAGTGCGCGACACTCTCCGTCTTGGGGAGGTTGTCTGCAAAACTGGCCCCTGGTTAGAGTTGGTGTCATTTTATAGCATTGCATCATGGTCTCTCGCCTGACAGCTGATAACAATGTGAACATATTTTGGGGTATATTCCAGCGTATATACAGCTTAAGATATTTTATCCATAATTATTGGCATCAATTATACTTTTTAGGTTTGAAATAGCAATGTTTCCAAATAATTACTTTTACAATAGATTAACAGCAAATGTGAGTGACAAAGAAAAAGTACTGAAAACGTTTTTAAAGTAGTCCTAAATCTATTCAAGTTGTAAGGGGATGCAGTAAAAAAAATGGTGCCTTGAGCTACTGTTGTTTAAAAAAAAAAGGTGTATTTCAATTGCGTTTTTTGCATTTTTACACTGGACCACTTGCAGAATCTTTTCCTCTTCCCATCTGACACACGCTCTAGCCCCTCTACAGTGCAGTTAGGCTCTGCATCGACAACACTAATTATTAACATAATTACTTCATCGTGTTTTACCACCAGGGCTTAATTATGGTGCCTGTTGTGAGTTAAGTAATGTTAATTGTCTGTATTCAGCAAACTAAAGGCAAGATTTAAACAATAAAACAGTGGAGGGTTAAGTGGGATTGCCTGCAGAAATCAGCCACTAAAGTCATCCTTTTCCTTCTGAGTATATAAACTGAAACAGGTCATCAGACAGCTTTTTATTGCACACTGTGCTGCTTTTGTCATTGATTTTGGTATTTATTTTAGTAATTGGAGCACTGCTTTAATCTATACTACAGAAAACTGCCTGTTTGTCTTTGGTATGGATTAAAGTAGGGATAAAATTGTTCAAGTTGTCAGATGAGGGATAAATTAACAAATAGTACTTGTAAATTAGTATGCGGAAATACCTTAAGGGTTGACATGGATTTTTTATTTGCCTTTAAGAAACCAAGAAATAAGTCTAGTAGCTCTTTGAAGTGAGGCGGCTGATGGGCTTTTATTCAGATTGGTTTTTGAGAAGACTATAGGTCACAAATAGAACTGGATAATGCTTTAAATCCTGTTTAATTCCCATTTCAAATAATGTGCCCTAGAGTGCTACGAAAGTCATCTGAGGAGTGGTAGTTTAGGTAAACAATGTCTTCCAGTTGTGTTGCCTCTGTATCCCCAGCAACCTTAATTCAACAGCATCAAAAAAAGCATTTGTCATTAGTAAAAAAGTGAAATGATGCTAATTTGTAAACATAATTATCTGAGATCTTTTTATTTGCAGTACCTCTGCTGCTGTTTAGAATTCACCGTCACGTTCCTTGAACAGAAAATACTGAATCATTCATCACTGTCTTTTCTCACACGGTCTCCGTACTGGAGTTGGCAACGCTCAGTAAGTCCAACCATTTACTTTCCTTTCTGGCACAAACACTCAGAGCCCAGTAGAGCAATGTTCACGGACACATTGAGAAATAAAAGGGTATTACGCTCACAAACACATAGTATAGCAGCTACGTTACTGCATCAAGTCCAAGAGCTTGTCTTTGCAGATAGAGACCAAGGACTGTTTAACAGATACTGTAGCTTTAGCAATATCACATCAGATGTTGTGAGATAGTTGATTGATAGGACGATTATTATGCCAAGGTTTTTCTTGTGTACTCTGGTAGTTTTTGTTCTAGATAGTGCTGCTGGACATGTAAGAAACATGGCATTTCTTCCTGTTGTCTGAGCAAAATTGAGTTCTTCTGTCCCTCTGCCTCCCCACTATCGCAGTATTGATCAGAAATAATGGTTCTCTTTCTGTCCATTGAGGAGAGTGGTATCTTCCAGCAGCTTTCCAATCACTTTGTCTGCTGAAAACTGAGCAGGCACAAAGCTCCCCGGTTTACTCCAACCAGTTCCCCGTACAATATTTCAAATAAGAGCTTCTGTTGATAACACAAATCTTCACAGGTACTTTTATACTTCATATCTTTGTATCATACATATCTGCAGTATATTTTCATAATAACTCTTGAAAATTGATACAGCTCGATAGCTGAGAGTTGCGTAAGTCCACATAAGTGACAATTCATTTCAGCTTGATTTGATCGCGACGGCAATGTACAAATGTACAGACTGGCTTCAGTCTGCAGAGGTCTCCCACAGTCTGAGAGCACACTGGCAGGTGGAACTGGACCACTCGGACACAAAAATAGAAAAACAGAATTGCTGTACAAATTTAGAGGGAGGAGTAACGCCGCACGGTCCATTTTCCTTTGAGCTGCATGGTCCTCCCATCTGCTTGATGCTAGGAGGGTCCTCAGCACGCTCCCCTGCGGCCTTTAGTGTCCATTGTTGAGCAGATGAAAGAGCAACAGCAGAAGGCAGAGGGCAGCTTGGAGCATTAAGCTGGGAGGTGAAGCAGAGATTGGGAAGCTGTTGGATGGCAGGGTGGACTGACCCACTAGCAGCTCATTTCCCAGGGCCTGGAAGAGACACAGAGATCAGTTAATATGGCCACTCTTTTTCTGAATGGTCCAATCCTGATGATCTGCTTATATTAGTGTGTTATAAACAACCATTTGGTTTCTCATCATTAATCATTGTGTAAAAGCAGACGGGTGATAATTTGTGTTTAGCTCTGAAGGTCAGGATTAAATAGTCATAAATTCCTGCCGTGTCTTGGCACGCAGCTTACTACACATTGAACCTTGAAGAATCATTTATTTCTGTTTGTACAGCTTGCATTATGTTCATAGGCGATATTTAAAGTGCCATGGAGAAAACCTCAATGCTTCACTGAATATTTATGTAGGTGATTTCTATGAATAAAAGTGAACCGAGGAACCATTCATCGTCAGCAATGAAGGTAGGCCCTCTGTGTTTCCTTCCCAGAGCGTTTAAAGATGGTGTGTGGATGCGCACTAGGGGTTTAATGATTCTACATTTGTATTTATTATTAATGATTAACTGATAATTGATTGATCAGTTTAAGAAAATTGCTTAACATGTGCTTCCCTAGTCTTTCTCTAAACATAAGTGTATGCCATCAAAATCATTTGAAATGTTATATTTAAAATGACAATAACATTGCACACCTGTGTTGGTATTATTGTATCCAGAATGTTCCTCATAGTTTCAATGGTTTCTTGTGGAGAAGCGGTGCTCCTGGTTTCTCTGCTGCTGGACCCAGGGCTCGGCATGCTGGCCTGGCTGACAGTTGGCTGCTGGTCTGATTCACTTCCAAACGTCATAAGAGCATTTTCTGAAATATTAGATATGGAAATCAAAAGACAAACAGTTGTTATATTTCAGCAGCGTTGTTTCAATATGCTGATAGAGTTCCAGTCATGTCCTATGCTTTCTCATTGGAGGCCTCCGGTTCTGAGTCGTACATTTTTCATGATTTGCTGAGCCAGACCTAGTTTGTTCAGCAGAGGCAAGAGAGAGTGAGGGAAAGCAGAAAATACTCAGTATTCTCTTCAAGTATCCAAACTGCACCTGCCTCTCCACATCGACCTCATTAACTCGTAGAGCGTTTGCACTGGCCAAACAACTCTGAGACTCTCTCTGTATCCTTTGTAGGCTTTGGGCCCGAGGAGAAACTGGCCAAAGATTCACCTCGCCGCTCACACCGAGCTAAGATACTCGTACAGGTTCAGTGATATATATATGTTGCTGAGGTCAATAGTAAGGACCGTTAATTATTCTTACTTCAGAGAAGAGGTCATAGGAGAAATGGAAAGAAGAGTATTAGCATTGGGTTACATGGTAGAAGAACAGAAGACACTAATAATTACAAGACACCAATGTAGGCCTTCTTCATTAAGGCTGATGTAGTACCATATTATACAATTATCTCATCAGCTGAACTGATTTCAATAAAAAAAAAGTAGTCTTATTGTTTGTTTAAGACTGCTATTTCTAATGCTCATAACTGTAATCGACAACTTTGATCATGTAATCCATACAACACAAAGTCTTGAACGTTGTTCTACAGTCTGTTCCTCTTTTGATGTGTTTATTTTAGTGTTACATGTTCCACCATCCAAATCTTTGCAGCTTTCTTCATCATTCAGGTTACAAAACATTTCCTTAGTGGCTGTCACAGCATATATTTAATATTTATGATGGACAGTCAAGCATCAGCAGCAAACTTTAAATTCATACCATAGTTCTTTAGATATGAAACTGAAAAAAGTCCCAATGAATGCTCACATTGTTTTAATTATACCCTCAATTGCTTTCTGTATTTGCCTTTTGTTTAGTTGGTCTGTCTGCTCAGTATACTGAAATATCTGAAAACCCACTGATTGCATGTTATAGACACATTGCCATGTATTCAAGCAACAGTTCTCACATTTCAGTGTCTACAGAAGGTCCAGTTGTGATAGACACGGTTCACCACTGACATACATAAATATGGTGTTAACATTGTCTTCTTGAATATTATTATCATGTTTATTAACATTATGAGTCAGCGACCAGTTAGAGCACAAGTCTAAAATGCTATACATGTATTTACAAGCAATATTATATTAATTAGTAGCTCTAGAAACATGTCACTAAATACTTGGTATGAATGTTTGGTCCAAACACAGGGAAATAAGTGACCATAATAATCAGCACCTCTCTGATTAAAGTTTTCTAGATCAGGGGTTCCCCAAAAGAAATTGATTCATTTTGTAATTATAATTTTTTTTTTTAACTATAGTTAATAATAACGTTTGCATAGACATTTTTTTTTCTTTCACAATCCACTAGCGCAGTGTCTCTCAAACTTTTGCTTTTTTTTTTCTAAAATTAATTCACTAACACCATCCCCCATAATCCATCCCCCGGTCGACAAGGGGTCGCCAGTCTTTGGCACTGTTATTTTGGGTGTCGTGGGCTGCAAAGTTTGGGAACCCATGTTCTAGATCATATGTTAAAGAAAGAAAGTACATTAGGTGTTTGGAGGAGTTTCAATAAATATCCAATTATACAACACTCACAGCCTAGCTACTTATTATTCAGTAAGAAGTGACTGTCTGAACAACCAGGTGGAATTACCAAGGAAACAGCATGAAGTCGATGATTAATAACAAGAGACGATGGAGTGAGCAAGTAAAAAACACTAAGAGAGAGAGAGTGTGAAAAAGCACATTTTAAAATTAAAAATAATAACATGATATCTGATTTAAATACATCTCACTCTGCTGCATGCTGGGAAACATATGTCTCTCTTAATCCCAACGGCTCTGTCCTGTCACTTTCTTCACATCCAAAACTCATTTACTTGAGTTTTGAAGTCTGTTTAAATGCCTCCTGTTGCAGGTTATCAGTTCAAATTATTCTGATTAGGGAACGCAGTTTTTATATTTCATATCATAATGCAATTACTCTGTCTGTACCAGCTGTGAAGGGAATTAATATGAAACCATACAAGCACCTGAGGTAGTTATGAAACGTATTTGTTTTTGACAGTGATGGGGTTTTCTTTATACCCGTTTATACTTCCTCTTGTTATACGCACACTTCAATTTAAAGTTCCCATATGCCTACTTGTGTGATGATGCATGCGAGGTCGGAACTCTGTAAAACAAATCTGTCTACAATTTCTGAAGAACAGAAATATTGTTTTCTGGCATCACTTTAAAATTCTACGGGGAAAATCTGCATTTTGGTATGAGGGTGCTGAAAGTAAGAGGGCGCAGCGCCCCTGTTTGAGACAAAACCTTGCATTGTTTTTCTTGGAGATGTATAGAAACTGGGGATGTCAGTTGTACAAGAACTTTAGAAGTGGATACCAATACCATTGACACACATTGATCCAATTCAATACGATGATAAGAAACAAAAAATGCTAAATTCCATGAAGTTTCATTATTTTCCTGCACTATAAAAACAAATACAAAATGTATCTTTAAAACGTAACCACAGCTCTTACTCTTAAATTGCAACTAAAAGTAAATGTTGTATTCCTCTCCAATAGCTTTACAAACAAATCCCCTAACCACAAAAACTTGTGTTGGTACTTTTGAATGTAAATTATTTGCCCCTTTTGTTTGTTTGTTTATTCACCATGTAAACCGGCCTTGGGTCCCTTGAAAGGCGCTATACAAATTTCATCTATTATTATTATTATTATTATTATTATTATTAAAGGTTGGTACATTCAAACATTGTGGAAAGGGTCGGAGACACTCACGGAGACAGATGTTGGTGGTGAAGGATCCCAGGAAGTGATCACAGTCTCCTCTCGGGCTCGTGCTGGCCGAGCAGGAGCACCATGGAGCCACGCTGGAAGTTGAGTTGTCGATATAGTTGGGAGTTATTGTGCTTCCTGCAGAGGAAACGCACCGAACATCAATCAATATTAAATATTCATCCTCCCTTTGAGTTGTTACACCGTGTGCATTATCATCTGTAGTAATGGACGCTGCATTTCCTTTACGCTGACCTGATCCACAGCGATGATAACATTCTAGTATCGTTTGCTTAGACTGGCGGTGCATTGACTTGTATGATGTTATAGAGAGAGACTCTGATAAATGTTTAGGTCATGGAAGTCTCCGGCATTGATAATTTTTTTCTCTCGCTGTTTTCCTTCAACATAGTGGAATTTGGATTCCAAGTGCTTCAATAAATACAAGACAGGAATAAAAATGCAAAGTGTGTGTCTGTGCTGAGGGGCAACATTTGAGGTCCTTGAAATGCATTAGGTTATCTCCTCTCTCCAGTTTCTGCGGAAATAAGTCGCTGCTCCTATCTTCTTTGTTTGTTTTAAAACACACTGTGTAAAGAAAGAGCCTCTGTTAGTCAGTCTAATATGAATGCTTTTGTATGTTAAGCTGTGTTGAACCTTTGTCTTCTGGTTTTTAATTAGAAATATTATTTAGTTCTCCCACTCACTCCTGACCTGTTCAGTATTTATTCATTATTTCTTTTCTGCTTCTTGCACAATTGTAAGCTTGCTTCTCTAACCCAGCATATGGCATATATCTTCCTGCACGTCTCTCCACCTGTTCATTTAAATTAATCTTCTCTTTTCTGTATGTGTTTTTCTCACCTCTCAGGTGTGCACCTACCTATGAGCCCTGTGTAGGCGAGAAGACAGGCTCCGTAGTTCCCTTGCTTGCAGCCATTGGCAGATATTTCGGAGGGTTCGCAATCGTACTGGAACTGTGCCAGGCGAGACCTAGAGAAGCAACGAAACACTGGTTAGCAAGATCATCATAGCTCTCTGTATGATTTTATGTTAAAACTTCACTGGTTTAGTCCATTTTTGTACTACAACTTTCATTTAATTACGTTCGCTCCTCTGACATAAAGAAATATTGTTGGACGTGCTATAGACTGAAAGCATTGGACTGTAATGTGTAAAGTGATAGAAAGAGTAATATATTTCATCCCCCAGACCTGGGATCATTAGCAAAGCCCTCTGAGTGTAATGGGGCTGTGAAAAATAATGGCCATGACCAGAGATAGCAATGAGCGATAACTCAGATCCATCTGGCTCTTTATCTGTGCTAAATATTTAATGTGTTATTCCAACCGGCTCTCTGGGGTGTTCTAACCAATGGAGGTAGAAAGCTTTAGGGTAAAACAGCAGGCCATTGTGTTGATTGAATGGCTGTTTATTTGGTTTCAAAGAGACATAATACTGAACAGCACTGGCCCAAATATGTGGTGTGAGTATATTTCAAATCTATATCCAAGGAGTACTTGAAGAAACCTGGAATGATTAAACATTAGATTTGATTATTTGGGATACATTGAGAAAATAGTTAGTTCATTAAAGCAAAACGAAACTGGGGAATTTGATCATATTACGGCAATATCTTATCGTATCCATATGAGACCAGGTGAGAAATAACTTTAATATCTGTTATAGACCTGAGAGAAAGACATAACAATGAATGGGAGTCAATTATCCATTTATCTCCAAACCTGCACACGTAGTCAGTGTTGCAGATCTTTATCTGTGTAATGCAGTTGGGTTTTTCTGCGCTTTCATAAGAGCAACTGGGAACAATAGTCTGCCTCCGCCGCTCCGCGCATGCTGTGTCCGTACAGGGGCAGAAGAGCAGTCCGTGTGTGTAGTCGGCGGGGACTCGGTCGAAGAACCGGCGCAGAGCCTTATTGCATTTAGGCCGGTTGCACAAGCCCGACTTGGCAGTGGGTTTGATACAAGCCGACACATACTCTGTGCGGAGCTTCTGGCACACGTCGTCCACATTGCAAGCCTTGGCTGCGTCCAGGCAGCGATTCACAGTTGTCATGCCAACATCTGAGTCTATGGATAGAAGTAAGGTCAAAGAAAAGTGTAGATATCAGTGGAAATATAAATCCAACTGAGCAAAAAAAAATGTATGGGTATATAAACAGCGTGTGAGACCTGTAGTTTGCACTGATGTATTCATTCAACATGCTGAGATGTAATCTTTCAAAAGTTGAGATGGGTCGTTTGGAATTTAAGATCCGCAGCAAGGTGGAAGTGTCTGTGAATAAGCAATGTGGCTCATTTCCCGAGGACCAGAATAACAAAACGAGTTTTAAGAGAGGAGTCTGGTATCTCGTTCTTACGTTTTGAAAAGAGAACAATTTCTTGAATTGCATTGAGAATAATGACTCAAATATAATCCAGCTAGACAATTGTTATTACCGTGCACTAGTGACCATTTCTTTCTTTTCTTTTATGTATGTATTTTTTTTTGTGCTATTGGTTGCATCACCCTCGCTGTTCTGTGTGGGGATTGGTTGCAAATTCGTTTGTACTGTTATGTAATAAAATGCAAAATCTGAAAAAAAATATATAATCCAGCTAGCTTCTTTGCATCATTGTATTGCTAGTACAAGAACAAGGTTTATGCCTCTCCATCATCCTGATTAAAATAATCATAAAAGCAGGCATAGTGCACCAAAATACTAGGCCTATATGCCATATTTTAAAAGTATAGTTTGCTTTATAGTCAGCTACTTTGCTAATTTCTCTCTGCTGTCCCCTTATCTGTAAATGTCCTGGTTTGGCCCGTTTGCTTTATGTCATTCCCCTGCTTTGTTTCCCCGATTTAGGTTTTGTTTTCTCCAATATTGCTATCAAATGAAGACATAAAAAGCAAACAAATGTCTTTAAATACTAAACTGATCTAAATAAGATTCAGGAACATGCCTAAAACTATCTGAGTATCTTCCCACCTCAAGTGTAACTCGAGTAATGCTAGCGTTATGTGATCTGCGAGAAACATCCAAACAGCTTCCTGTCCTTTATTGCATCAGTAAATACAGCAAGCCTGACTTTGTGACAGGTCATGCTTGGTCTGAGAGTGAACCCTGCTCCTCATGACAACTTCTGAATGGACCTTTTGTATACATCCTGCCTGGGAAATGAGCAACGAGCCGACCTCATTGAGCTATTTGAGCTTCAGGGATTAGTCATCAGTTCTTCAGGTATTCTTGTTGGATTTGTAGTATAAACCCCTTTTCTGGCAGTAAACATGATGAAAAACATGAACTTTCTTGGGGTGGATGGTAGCTTTAGGCAGAATAATTCTCTGGACATTGTTTGTATTCAACTATGGCTCGAGGTAAAACAAGGAGTGTTACTGTAGACAAGTTAACATCCAACAGGACCAGATTGGCCTACAATTACCACAAAAAGAATACACGCATTAACACACCTTTCACTCTCATTTAACTTCGGCCAATGTTTTCCTACTTCTACCTTCTACTTAAATGTGTAGCCTTCAGTAAACATTTCAGGCGATGAACGTGTTTTCACAGAATTAACCTGCCTTTCAGAGTTTGGACTTGTTTTATTACATTTTAAGAGTTGCATTGCTAAATTAGATTTTGATATAATTGCATTCCTAAGTATAATATTGACTCCATATGGACAGCATTGGCATCCATTCGTTGTGTTATTTCACGTCAATCTGGCAAATTAATCCAAAGACAACAACATCCTTCTGGATGCTGCAGTTGTATGAGGATGAATAGCATTTCTTGTGTAACTGTGTCTTAAGAACAGAAGGGACCTCTAATTGCCCCAGGCATGCTTCCAGGGGTAAATTCAGTCGAGTCATGTATTTGTGCAAGAACAATCCATCTTCAAAGGTTAAAATTGTATCAAATAAGGTGAAACTTAATGAAGGTCAGGGAACTTGCCAGCTGTAATAGAGGCCAAGCGGACGTAGTCGTAATCTCTGTGCACGGTCTCATAGGGATAACTCTCCACCAGGTTGAGTCCTGAAAGCAAAATAGAAACAGGTAAAACATTTACATGAATCTTGTCAATTAATTAGGTTGTATACTATAATTATCACATGTTATCATGTTGCCACTAAGACTCCAATCGCCTAAATGATCATTTGTACACAGTCTAATATTTAGTCATCGGTACAGTTTGTGATGACCTATGGTTCTTCAGCTACCGAATGAGAACTTAGCAACGGTTTGATTTTTACACTTTTAAAGGACCACTGCTATTCTCTAGACACTGACCATGTATGAAGGACTGGTGAAGGCTCCAGTAGATGCTCAGGCAGTTCTTCTCCTTCTTCATGCCTCGTTTGCACTGGCAGCCATTTAAGGGGCTGGACAGCAGCGCCGACACTGCGTTGGCACACTGGCTCCTGGCCCCGGGGCCCAGCTTCATGCTGCCATTCCCCGCCACGCACTGACGCAGAGTCCGCAAACGTGGACTACAAGTCTCATCACTCGAGCACGAGTCTCCAGCCAACAAGCAGTCTCTGCCAGCAAGAATGACCTCTAACAGAGCTGTTAGAAAGAAAATCAAAGCACAACAAAGAGCACAGGTATTAGGGGGGAAATCTCAATTTTATGTGAGGTGATATTGAACATTAAGTTAAATCAGTGACTCTAAATCTGAAAATGTGAGAATGCTCAGGTTGGATTATCTTCAGTGACATTTTAATAAATGTTTTTGATGAGTCTCATTGCTTTTGTGACATCGAACATTAATGATCTCTAGAGAATGACTTTGGTGATTATCTCGTGCCACCATGAGGATGACATTTGTGGTTTTTCATCAGGTCAAAGTTTAAATGTCTCCAATTCTTTGCTTTATGAACAATGGCCTGAAAAACGAACTATATTTTCTATCAGCATCAACTCTGCTTTGTGTTAACAGCATGCTAAACCAAGATAGCGATGAATTTTAAATTGCTGCATTTACATTTAACCATTCAAACACCATTCAAACACACTACTACATTGCAATGTGCTGTCTTGACCATTGGTAAGCAACTAAGGGTTTAATTTTATCAATGAAACTTAGTGTTGACAGGAAGAGCTGGTAATCAAACCACAAACCCATTTGATTAATAGACAAAGACCGGACGGACGATATGTTAATGTTTTCCAACCAGCCAGTGTCAGCTAACAATTGGTAATGGCCTATATTTGTGAACATGTGTGTCTTCTCTCTTCGCATCCAAAAACAGACCATAGTATACCGAAGACCGCTCTGCCTCTGGCACATTATTTCCTCACACATTTGGCATTAACATTTCTATCAAGATTTTAGATTTTCTTTATTAAAGCATTAAAACTATGAAAACAAGTGCTTTATATCTCGGTCTCTTTTCACATTACCTCTATTGAGATGATTATAACTTTGCTTGAGTGCATTACCATGAATAACATGATTTGTAGCTATCCATTCTCTCATTACTTGGCCTGAAGGCTGAATCACTTGCTATATTCCCTCTGACGTCACTGAGAGTTTGTTTTACGAAAACTAGTATTAATGCACACTGAAAATGTTTGCATTATGCAGTTACTGTGTGAACAATCTGAAGTGACGGACTTTTACAAATCATGCTCTCATTCACTGACTCACCTTGCCCTAGCTTTTGCCCCTGAAATTAGTCGAGTCTATTCAGAAAGATAACTTGAATAACAGGTGTGTGTCATGCAGGAAATACAGACATAGTTACTGATTGAAAGAATCAAAGGTATTTATGCGTTGCTATGGTGAAGAGCCCATGTATTAGCATGTTTATTGAACTATCTCAGTTTGACAACATAACAGCTGGTGAGATTGGAGCTGTTGTTTTTCTTTCACATGGCTGACCTCGGATGGCAGCATAAATACTTTGGGTAGATTGGGATGAAGACACAAAGTGATATAAAGTCATGCCTAAACTTGCACCTCCACTACTTACTTGTAGGTGAAATGTAGTTGTTATTGAAAAAATAGAAATGCATTCTAAGCGAATTATATTGTGTTATGGCTCTTTGTTCTTATAAACTGTATTGTGCAAACAGCTGAGACTTGGAGGCATATTAACATGTAATGAATTAGAAGTAATTAAATGCTCTGCCTTCTGTGTATCTAGAGTTGGTCTTAATGTGATTGCTGCCTTGATTACGCTCAAAGACATTGTTTGTTTGTGTGCATAAGGCTCTTTAAACTAAAAGAGTGCATCAAGAGTTACAGCTGTGGTTGGGCTTGGGCAATAAGCACTTTGGTTGAGAAAAGATGTTTGTTGTTAAATGTTAAAAAGCACTCCTCTACGGGCTTTAGCCACTGATGACTTTTTCTGTAATAAACCTGACCACGAAGTGATCTGATCATAGCACTCTAGTCTAGAGGATTCATTGTAGACCAGTACTCCTCATTAAGTGTTTTTTTGCACCTTATGTTTGGGTGTTTTTTTTTCCTAATTTATTTCCAAACGAGCACATTTGCCAAAAGAATCATAATACTTACATTTTTTAATTCATATCCCCTTTCTTTTCTCCCGTAATGTCTTTTAGCCCATCTGCTTATATAAAAAAAATATTCAATTTCATGCTGCTTTCATCTGCTCTCACAGGTATTTTACAGGATTTTGTTGGCGAAATTGTCTCAGCTACTGTTTTGATCTGAAACAAACAAACACACCCCCCCCCATACACACACACACACACACACACACACACACACACACACACACACACACACACACACACACACACACACACACACAAGGCACGAAAGTAATGAACCGACATACAAAAAAATGTTCAATCATCTGCGTGTGTCTCTTTAAAGCTGGATCTTTAGTCAAACCCCGATTGGGGAATTCGGTCTCACTCCCATGAGGAAAAAAAAAAAAAAAAAAAAAAAAAAAAAAAAACACAGGGCAGCGAAGTAATGGAACGCGACATACAAAAATAAAGGTGTTCAATCTCTGCGTGTGTCCTCTTTAAAGCTGGATCTTTAGTCCAAAACCCCCGAATTGGGGAATTCGTCCCTCCAGCCTCCCCATGAGGATCTTTTGAAAAGTCCTCATCGTGCTATTTCAGGGCACATGTAACCTATGTGGCATCCATTCAACGTGTGGGCATCGATGAAGCGGGGGGGAGATAACCAAACGCCCCAAACCCGATCCAAGGCGCAGATGGGTAAAGTTGGCAAATTCAAGGCCAGAGTTCCGCAGGCCCCCTTTCCTGCTATGTGTGGCAGTTTGTGCTGGCCTGGGGGCAGAAGCTGGAATAGACATCGGCATACATTCATTGATGGCAAATGAGGCGGCCTGAAATTTGACACATTTCATAAGCCTGTCCCTCAAATGGTAAGGCCAATGGTTTGGTTAGGGGCCAATTAACGCATGCAGTAATCAATGTGGTGCCGAGGCTCAGTTAAGCCTCAGTTTGCCCGCCACATAAATGCAGCAAGCAGAATTAGCTTGATCGGTTACCCTTAAAAAAGCGCCGCGACTTAATGGTCGCACTTTCAGGAGAGATAAAATGGAAAATGAAAAGGCTTAATGAAACTCCATCTGCATTGTTAGCCTTACTCCATATTGCTAGCAAAGCAGTGAGGCCCGGGAAGGCAAAATGCTTTTGTGTTGGTGTAATTTAAAGACTTATCACCTTTGTTCAGTAATTACTAAAATTGGTGAATTGTAAGGATCGTGCCAGGCTTGATGGCAGTTGTTTGCTAGCTCCGTCTACTGTACATNATTGTTATATGTCAAGGTAGCAGCAAGGTTGGCGTATAACTTTTGCCCTTAATTAGACATCTACCATTGAGGGCCGTTTGGAGCAGACACCATGTGAAGTTTAAACTTCACATGGTGTCTGCTCCAAACGGCCCTCAATGGTAGATGTCTAATTAAGGGCAAAAGTTATACGCCAACCTTGCTGCTACCTTGACATATAACAATCCTCAGTGTCATGGTTATATCCCAAAGCAAGAACACAAATAACTATTTTTGTTATAATATGACTGTGTCATTATTACAAGACACCTCTTCATAACAGTTGGTGAGCAACATACAATCCTATCGTGTTATAAAAACAAGACGCTTCTATTATATCTGAAGACACATGTTGAGTTTGTGAAATTATTAAAACGTTTTATTATAAAACAAGATCAGAGGCCTGTACGACGAAGCCGGTTCAACATAACCTGCATATGTTTGAGTTACCCGGTTTACCTAATCCAAAACAAACGCGCTCTCGCTAAGCGGTTCTACGGTGCTGGTTATCATCTTGTTAACTCAAGTCAGCTTTGCCCTATCTAGTTAGGTGCGCGTTCACATGAAAGGGGTGGTATTTGGAGCATTCGACCAATTACAAACATGGACAAGCGTACTGACAGCGCAGCGCGTCATACTTCCTGAATGAAAATTCAACTATAATGAGACAAATATGAAGACGTTAAACTCTAAACATCCATGACTTAAACACTTTATCCAGGATAAAAGCCACATAGCTGCACCTGCAAGGTGAATACAGCTGGTAAAAGAAAAAGTGTTTGAATGAGTACATTAACAGGTTTATGATATCACTGCCCCGTCTAAGACACGAGTGGATCTGACTTTAATTACATTTGACTCGAGTGTTTCGTCAACTTAATGTGTTGCTTAATTAAGTTGCTTAAATGTATGTGTGTGTATATATATATGTGTGTATATATATATATGTGTGTATATATATATATAATATCTACATGTATATTTTCTATTTTCTTTTTCTTTCTATTCTTGTTTATTTCTAGTTTTGTTTTATTAAACACC